CCAAAATTAGAACCTTCTCCAGAGACCTAGGTCTTCGCATAATGTATCTGGAGTAGGATATTTTGAGTCTGGTCATTTGTGACTTGAGTAAGAATTCTGAGTTGATTTGTTCAATGATCCATTTGTTTGTTTTCTTGGCTGTCCCCTGAATTCTCAGGCCTTCATGGCTGCTCTAACAAGTGCTAGTCTGCAGCATATTTCTTGACTGCTTGTTCCTTTACTGTCAATGATTGATCCCAAAAGGCAGAAGTAATCCACAGCTTTGATATCTTCATTGTCAACTCTAAGGCTGGTTGTTGTACCTGCTGTCATTAGTTTGATCTCCTTTATATTTAATTTTAGTCTGATTTTTTCACTGTGTTTCTTGACTTTTATTACTAGAGCCTGCAGATCCTTTGCATTTTCAGCTATGAGGGTAGTGTCATCAGCATAGGACAGGTTATTGATGTTTCTTCCTCCAGTTTTAAAACCACACTCATCTTCTTCCAATCCAGCTTCCTTTAATATATATTTATCATATAGGTTGAATAAATAAAGGGAGAGTATATACTTGGGTAGTGTCATCAGCATAGGACAGGTTATTGATGTTTCTTCCTCCAGTTTTAAAACCACACTCATCTTCTTCCAATCCAGCTTCCTTTAATATATATTTATCATATAGGTTGAATAAATAAAGGGAGAGTATATACTTGTTGCACTGTTTTGCCAACCTGGAGCCAGTCTGTTTCCCCATGTTCCATCCAGACTGTGGCTTCCTGACCCATATATGTTTCTCATGTGGACAATGAGAAGTTCTGGGATTCCCATTTTTCTGAACACATTCTACAGCTTGACATAACTGGCACAACTGAAGGCCTTTATATAATCAATGAAACACATAGGTGACTTCTTTTTGGTATTTGACTTTCTCAATCATCCAGCATGGATCAGCAATAACCAACGTGCATCAGCTATAATTTATTATTTCATTACTTTATTAAGATCAACCCAAATATCACAGACAAGTGTGGAAGATTTTCAGTATGCTATGAACCTTCATCATGATTAGTGGTAAACAAAATAGAGAAAAAAGAGCTGGCTCAATCTTGAAAACTATATTTAGTCACAGCCTGCCTGAAGACAGAATGCACTCTCCTTGTCCTCTGGCATGCTTCTGCTTCTATTTTCAGCTAACTGATTTCTTGTTAAATGCAATCTCAGAATGGTGGTTTAAGATAGCTGGTGCTCTGCAGTTTTGCTGAAACTTTGAGCCACACATAGGAGGAGGTTACCTGGATCAGAAACCATGCATTGAAATTACTCTGCTTCACTATATCATGATTAAGATTCACCAACATTTGTGTGGATTTAGTCATTTATAGTAGGTGACATATGCTGAGCTATGGCTTGTTTTAATCATGGTTTGTGGAACAAACCATAGTAACCTAGATTATATCTATATATTACTAAAACTTTCATTGTGTTTATCTGTTTATACACTCAAGTTAGCCCAAACAGTGCATTATACCACAACAATTTTTGAATCAAGGTACCTAAAATCTGCTAACTTAAAGGATGCATAAAAAAATCCAGGACCCATTACTCCTGTGGAAATGAAATTTTCATGATGTTCACATCAGTTTTATTCACAAAGTTGTGGCTGTTGCAGCATCCCCGCGATCACATGATTGCGATTTCCGATGTTCCCTGAACAGCTTCCCACAAGTAAAGTCAATGGGGAAGCCGGCAGGAAATTGGAAGTCACTCCTGCTCCCACTGCTTTTTTGCCTGCCTGTGGTCGTTCTGTTTATCCGTTGGGTAAGTAAATATTGACTTATTATTGAAGTTCACTTGCCACTACAATAATTTTTCTATTTATGATATATATTCTTCTTAGATGATCACGGGACCGCCCAGAATTGTGAAGGTTCTTTGTTTTCCAAGGACTGGACACACCACAGTGTAGCAAATCTGTACAAAATGCTT